AGATAGCGATGTGATGCATGATTGTAATGAAACCTGGACTGAAATTGAAAAGCTATTGAAAATGTCAGTTTTATGCAAAGAAAGCCAGCATTCAGCTATGACGATCGCAATAAAGCACGCAGAGTTAAAAAGTGTATTTCGTTTAAAAAATTTCAGAAACAAAAGAAAAACAAACTGCAGAAAAAGTTGAGAATGACATTAGAAGAAAAATAATCATCACGCAACAGCGTTTAAAAAAATCCTCGTTACATTATTTGTTTTGCATACGTGGCATACTTAATTTAATGAATTTTCATTAGCATGACATATTTTTTCCTTAGATCAATTTCGTTATATTTCACTCACCATTAGCTTATTTTGTTTAATACAGAACATTAAAAAAAATGTTAAACCCGATTTCAGTTCTTTTATCTTAATCTAAATATAACCCCTCATATCTGGACTTTGTAACCAATTCTTCATATCTGGAAGGCCATCTTAGTTCGGTTGTCAGGGATTCTACTGTATATTGTAGTACAGCACTATTTTCTTTCTAACGAAATTTTTTGTTTCTTAATATTTTTAGTTTTCTGGAAGCCATCCTTCGCTATCCAAGTGCACTTTCGGATTTCTGCGTCACATTTTTATCGTCTGTTAAATCACTTCCGAGTTAAGTTTCTGTACTTGCTTGATTTCGATATCTCCAATTTGTCGCTCATACCTTGAACTGTCCCTTTTGTAACGACCATAAGTTCCGTCTTCTTACAAACTATGGTTAAGCCTTTCTTTCCGCTTTTCTTTACTACCTTATGCATCAGTTTTCTTTCAGTTTCCACCATCAACACAATGTCATCTGCATATCTTTTGTTAACATTGTGCCCACTAATAAATCCTGATTGGACATCTAGTTCTCCTGGGATCACCTTGTGTATAGATTAAGCAAATATAGCGAGAAGACACGTCCTTGTCTTTTAAGCATTTCACACCAAGCAAGGCGGGAGTGCCACTAGCACGCAAGGGGTTACAGAGAGTGGGAGCAAGAGTAAAGACGTGCGGTAGAGGAAAAGATGGACGGGGAATAGATCAAGCCATCTGGAGATGTCGATTAACATTGAATTTGAATATTTGGAGGTTATAGCTTATCAGGGAAGCAAGTAAGAGAGTTCCACAGACGGGAAGTGCGAGACAGGAAGCTATTGGGGCAAAAGAGACGGCTACATTTAACCGTTTCGACAGTGAAAGGGTGGGACCGAGATGCCAACCTAGTAGCACGTTTAAATTCATGCAGTTTGGGAACCAACGAAAGTAGCTCGTCGGAGCAGTTACCGTCTAAGTATTTGTAGAAAAGACAAAGGGAAGCGATAATACGTCTGTGAAAGAGCGACTGTAAACGAGATGCCAGATCAGGGCTAATCACATTGTATATTTGTTCAACTCATTCATTTTGTAGCCATATGCAGGCAGTTTGTCTCCAGTAAATGTTCAGAATTGTTCTCATGTCTATTCCGAATAAATCAAGTTTCCTTGACAGTTTAAATAAATCTTTGTTCATTTTTATTGATACTCAAAGGACGAATTAATAGCAAGAGGGACAGAAGAAAACAAGCCATAACCTACCTAGTGAGCTTGAATAGGAAGATGGCGGAACAAGATATAGGAGAGATAACAAAGGAAAACGTTTATTAAGAGCTACAAAGGACAGGAAATTGTGGAGAACCATGATCGTCAACGTCCTGAGGAGACACAGCACATAAAAGAATAAGTTTAAGTAAATAGATAGCGGGTTAAGATTTAGGAGAGATAACAAAAAGGCTAAATTTATTAAGAGCTACAAAGGACAGGAAAATGTGGAGAGCCATAATTGATAACTTCCTGAAGGGACGCAGCATATAGTAGATGAAGAATGAGCTTGAGTAAATGAATAGGGGAGCAATGTTTAGAAGAGATAACAAAATGAAAAAATTATTAAGCGCTGCAAAGAACAGAAAATTGTGGAGAGCCATGTTCGCCAACATCCTGGAGAAACACGGCACATATAAGAATAAGATTTGTACATAACTGAAAAGTGATCGCTCACAGTTGTCATTTAGACGGGTTTTACAGTTTAGAACCGCATACTGTAAGCTAGTGGTTCCCAAGCGGTACGTTGCGCTTCATATGGTCGGCGAAAGAGGATAGCAGGTGAGGCAGAATGATTGAAAGACAATCAAAAATTTAGAAACAGTTTTAAAAAATGCATATGCCAAAACTTTAAAAATATTATTATGGATTACTTGTAATTGCATGCATGAATCCCAGTGTAGTTATAAATAATTATTGACTGATATCCTTGTGATATTTCTCTATTATATCAAGTACGGTAGAGTAATGGTTAGCGCCTCAGATTGACAAATTGGAGAGCAAAGTTCAAATTCCAGTCGAATCCATTACATTCACTTACATGCTAATATCCCTGGGAAAGGTACGAATCTTCTCCCCCCACCCCCAGCTATGGGTAGATAGCAAGATAGCCTTGGATGGCAGCTGGTCTACCGCAGAAAGAAATAGCAACCTACTGCGGGAAGAAAATCTGCCTCGTCAGTCATGTATCGAAAGATACAAGACAGCCTAAGCGTGTATCACGCATGTTACCTAACTGAACTAGGCTCCGCAAATTGGAGGAGAGAGTTATCAATGATAATGTTCCGATTTCGAATCCACGGTTATCTCCCTTTAATCCTCTTTAGAACTTTTGCCGGATGACTGATGCGCCTTTTCGCCGGGACTTCTCTTTGGTAAGGTGCGAGCAAATTTTAATTCCGAAAATGCGGTACAAAGAAAAAATGTTTGGGGACCACTGTCCTAAACTAATAACACGAATTGAGTTTCGAGTTGACGAATAAAAAAAATGAATAGTTTCAAATTATGGATGTTAGCTTTTTAAAACACATTTTTTAAACTCTTGTTTATCTTCATCTATTTTGCAGAAGAAAAAAAAACTTAATCCCATCAGATTCTTTAACCCAATGCTTTCTTTTAAAGCAATCAAAACTTACGCATGCATTCGTCCTGATCATTTATTTGATTGCTGACTTTGTACACCAACTGCCACTGTATTGAATGCGGGCCTGTAACAGACTTGGTTTAATATCCACTTCCTGTTGACCGAGTATTATTTGCACATGCTCAAGCGACTAATTTGTATCTCCTCAATTATATTCTACTTTTTTTTTCTTTTTTAATCGGTATCACCCCATGCAAGGCAGTAAAGCCACTAAGACAAGGGCTTACAATTGGGGAAATATAAACATTATTAACGAGCGAGAACAAAAAGAGTAATAAAGAGGACGGTAGATGATAGACTTATCGATATACAAGATGGATTCTGAAGAGAAAGATTGTCTCGCAAGACACAGTGAACAGACTTTCTTAGCAGCAGATCTAGCATGTCAACCGAGAAGGTTAGCCTGAGAATGTGTAACGAGTCACTTTTCTAGAAGTTAGCATCAGTCATACTGACGAAAGGCAGAGAGGGAGTCTTTCAGATGATGAATGGAGAGAAGTTTAGTTTTGTAAGCGTTAAAATTAACACGATATCTATCTGGTAAATAGTTTGTGGGTATTAAAATTATACAAGCATGAATCGAAATTTAATCCACAATTTAAAGAGAAATACAAATAACAAAACATTAAACAAAATAATTTTCTCTACATTTTGAATGAAAATTGATAACAGATTTTAACAAAAACTACGGATGTTCAAGCGAATATTTTTTGACGCTTAATTAAGTGAGAATTTAAATTACTTTAGCATATTTTTAAGGACAAATAAAATTCACATTGCAGTCAGTTTATATATGCCATTGTTCCATATTTCAATTGAAAAATGACGTGGAAAGTTGTTACTTTTTGTCAAGAGGCTAAACCTGAATTGCAAATTACTTCTACCCTTAGAATATCCGGTTACTATGTGCAACGAATTTATGAACAAGATTCTGAAAGCTAAGGTTTTTCAGATCAACCAAGATCTGAAAGTAAAAGAAAATTATCTGAACGAGAACAAAGGAAAAAATTGTCATTTAAATGAAGCCTAAACCACTAAAAACGGTCAATCAAATTCGAAATAACGTGAATTTGGCAAATATTGTAAATTAAGAAACTATCAAGTTTTGTGAACGACAATTTATTTCATCGAATTTCTTAGAAAACCGAAGCTGATATCAAAATACCTATCAGCAGAAACTCTTAACACCTTAATTTTAAGAGTGAATGCTCACTTAGATATAAAATAGTGTCAACCTCAGCGTTGTGTAATAGTTAGCAAGCTTATCTCGCTAAAACAGTTACGACAAAATAGCGAGTTCGACACTCACTGGGTGCCCCATACATTCGGCCTTGTGCTACATCTAAGCTGTGCTTAGAAAAATCAACTTAGATATAAAATAGTAGTTGTAAAAAAATTCCTAAAGAGAGTACATGAAACTTCAACTCATCCCCTTTTCCTTAAAGAACTCAATGTAAAACAGGCTAGTTAACAATGGTTCTCCTAACTACCTCATCGACCACCAGATTAGACTATTTCTTTCTAAAGTAACTAATAGCAATACTGAATGTACAGATAAAAATAATATCCTTAATATCATCTACATGTTAATACAAATACATGTTAATAAGCAAGACAAAATTTCTCTTAGAAATGTCAAAGAAATACACAACCCCAATCGATCTGAACAAAAGAATTAAATTAATTATCTATTACAAAAAAAATAAAACAGCTAACCTCATCATCAAAAATAACAACATACCAGCAAAATCAAAACTACAAAGAATCAGTATTATTTACGCGCGCCCCTCCCCACCACCACCAAAAAATTATAAAAATAGAAGGGGGGGAGTACTTCCAAGACTGAATGGAGAGACTCGGACTGTAAAAAATTTATTTTCTCATATCGAAATTCACTAATTCATGATTTAGCGAAAAATATACCGTGAAGTCAATAAAACACCCAGCGGCAATTACCATATAAGGAGGCTAATTGCCGTATCATGTTGAAACACCGGTTCGCGTACGATCACCGAAGTTAAGCAAAGTCGAGTTTGGTTAGTACCGAGATGGGTGACTGCTTGGGAATAACAGGTGTGGCAGGCTTGGATATGCTGATGGTGCATTGAATAAAGGCTCAGAATTGTAAATCGGAGAGCAGAGTTCCAATTCCAGTTGAGTTCGTTATATTCACTTACGCGCAAATAGCCTTGGGAAAGATGAATACACCTCTTCTCTCCCCAACTATGGGTTAATTAGTAAGACTTATTAAATAATTATAAAAAAAATTCTTACAATGTAAAATTATTTTCTGGCTTTAAATAAACTGTAAAGGGTTGCCAAGCCACAGAAAACGAATAAAAAACAAAATGAAGGAGTAGTTCGAGAAGACAAAGTCATTTTATGCAATTGAAACGTAACAGAATATAATGAATGTAAACGTATATTCGATAAAAAAAGCCCCCCAAAATACATGAAAAATTCTACAATTTTCAACAAAGTAATGGGTTTTTTGACGCTTTAAAGTTTAATGTTAAATCCAGTAGAAGCTGGTTTCAGTTCTTTGAAAGTAAAAATTCTATTAATCCTGAAGCTTTATGCAATACAGAGAAATTAAAGAAGTAAATTCGGATTTGAAAGATTTTTCCCGGAACGTCAAATGTTTGACCAAAGCTCCAATATTATAACACATCTATGTTAGTATCTATATATATATATATATTTGAATAAAAAACAGACCACGTTAAGATTCCATGTAATAAGCTATTATGATCCAGAACCCTGTTAAAGGGGTTATGGTGAAATAGCTTATTACATGGAATCTTAACGTGGTCTGTTTTTTATTCAAACATAACTGTCTGAATATCATCCTCCTCAGGTCTACCCATACGGATTACCTAAGTTACCTAATATTATATATATATATATATATATATATATATATATATATATATATATATATATATGAGAGAGAGGGATTTTCTTAGCCCGGCTTATATGTGGCACAAGGCCGAAAGTAAGGGGCACCCAGTGAGGATCGAACTCACTACTCAGTCGTAATTGATTTAGCAAGACAAGCTTTCTAACCATTACACCACGTCGAGGTGCCCTTAGTGATTTTCCAAGCGTAGCTTAGATGTGGCACAAGGACGAAATTAGGGGGCACCCAGTGAGGATCGAACTCACTCGTAATTGTTCTAGCGAGCCAAGCTTGCTAACCATTACACCACTTTGAGGTGTCTATATATATATATATATATATATATATATATATATATATATATATATATATATATAAATATATATAAAAGCAAATATATGGATATAGATCCGACAGTATGAAGAAAAATACAGAAAAGACAAACAAAAATCTGAATATGCAATTATGCTGTATTAATGTTAATATAAAGTCAACGTCGGAAGTTTCGGTCTATTTAAGACCATCTTCATTTAAACATAATTAACATTAGAACATATAAAAATTTAACACAAAAGACGATGGACATAAGAGCACAACTAATCCAAACAGATAAAAGAAATTTTTATATAAGATCAGCGTTCCGTTTAAATAGGATCACGTCGTCGTCACGTGGGCGATGTTGTAAAAACGTATTCGAAGATGATTTCCAAATATTTACACAGTGGCTTTGTGTCTATCAATGCGGATCTTTGTGAAAAAAATTCTTTATGATTGAGGGCCGTAGTAAGGATAACAAGATGATTTTGTAGTCAGTGATGGTAAGGTTAGTTCGATCCTCTGACTGCGCCATACTTATGTCCTTGTACCAGAGTAAGTTGTTTGCTTTAAAACAATAGCGAGGAAAACAAAAGCGTTTGGAAACTAAATGAAATCGCCGGTGTTGTTGCATTTAAGACACGTCAGATGCAAGGAATTTAGCCATCCCCCCGACATCGCCATGTTTTCCTATGTTTTCATTTATATTTCCCGCCTCGCTCACTCTTTTGCTCTCTCTCTCTCTCTTTACATATGCATAATTTCATCAATAAGAACATTAATTTTATCTGAAGTCCTTTGAGAGGACGAAACTTGTTACGTAGATTTTTTTTTCTTTTTCGTTATTCAATTACTATTATGAGCCACCCCCAAAGCAAACACATATATATCCATGAAACTCCGAGTACATATCCAGATAAATGAACTATTTTATTCTATTACTTATATAAGTTGACACAATATGTTCGGCGCCTTTTAACAAAAGGTTTTATTCCTATCAATTTATCGCACCATTATTCAGTTCTCGAAACATTTTCCTTGCCTTTTTATGAACTGACACTTTTTTTTTCCACGTAGCCATGTTCAGTTTCATGAGTGGCAAGATAAATCAGTTTATTAACATATATCACATCTGTAATAAATTCAGGTATATGATATCTGTTAATAAAGTTAATTGTCTTATATTACTACTGATGTGAGTCGGCAGATAAGTTTCATTTATTTACTATTAATGTTTTTTTTTTGTTTTTTTTTTATATTGAGCACTTTATTTACAAAATCTGCCCGACCAAAACGCATTATCCGCCAGTAATTTATTACCCTTGTTATATTTTTTTTTATTTTTTTATTTTTTATTTTTTTTGCTTATACAGGGTGCGATGGATAAATTGTTTAAATTACGCAAAAATGGCATCTCACTTTAACAGATATATTTACCAAAATTACACAAAATATAGAAATACTAAAGAGTAAATTTATTCAATAAAATCTTCATTGGCTTCAACCACGGTCACTAGACGACTTCGGAATCTCCTGCAACTCTTCTGGTTTGTCTCCTTATTTAAGTTGGTGAATGCTGACAGACACATGGTCTTCCAGGAGCCACCCTTTTGACCCAGGGCAGAACTACCTCCTCAAAACACTTGATGTAGTTCTCCGTGTTGAGTGTGAGGCCCTTGCCAACAAATTCGGTAGTTTTTTTCTTATCAGAACGATCAGAGTGAGTTTTCCGAGCTGCCGTACCTTCGTAAACACCATTAATCATCCAACTCTTTCCGAATCCTCTGTACTGTCCTCAGATTGACAGCCAAACACTCTGAAATGTTCGTATTGGAGTTTCCGGCGAGAATGCCAAGCAGTACAGCATGCGTTTTCCAAATTTCTGGCGGAGTGAAATGCGTCGTGATGCTCTTCTTCTCATAGACGGTGCCCAACTGACCTTACTATGCTGTGCAGTCGACAAAATCAAAAACAAACAACGCGCATGCGCGAAATTAAAAATACAAAATGGTGATAATTTACCCATCGCACGCTTTATATGAGAAATCATTAACTCTTCTATAATAATGCTATTTTCGCCCCTCCCCGCTCTCTGTACACAGAAGCATTTTCAAAAGATTTAGCCAATGTTTGAGACGATTTGAATAAAATCAAAGTTTAAAGAAATATATACATAATAATTATAAAAATTGCCTTTGGGCACTTTGACGTGATTTAATAGTTAGTTTGCTTGATTTACGACCGAGTAATGAGCTCGATCCTCACTGGGGCTACCCCCCCCCCTTACTTTCGGTCTTGTGTCGCAACTAAGCTACATTTCTCATGCGATCTAATAATTTTTTTCTTTTCGGGTGATAAATTATATAAAATCTGTCCGAATGTTCTTTTTATCCGAGCGCTTTCGACTATACATTTAGCCATTTTCAAAAATTAAATATTTTAACTGTTTTTATATAATTTATCATCCGAAAAGAAGAGAATTTGAAAGACAAAGAGACAGACAGACAAAGAGACAGACAGACAGACAAAGAGACAGACAGACAGACAAAGAGACAGACAGACAAAGAGACAGACAGACAGACAGACAGACAAAGAGACAGACAAAGACAGACAAAGACAGACAGACAGACAAAGAGACAGACAGACAGACAGACAAAGAGACAGACAGACAGACAGACAAAGAGACAGACAGACAGACAGACAAAGAGACAGACAGACAGACAGACAAAGAGACAGACAGACAGACAGACAAAGAGACAGACAGACAGACAGACAAAGAGACAGACAGACAGACAAAGAGACAGACAGACAGACAGACAGACAAAGAGACAGACAGACAGACAGACAAAGAGACAGACAGACAGACAGACAAAGAGACAGACAGACAGCAAGTCTTCGACAGCAGCAGCAGCTGTAACAAAAAAAATAAAAGCTTCGGTGCAGTCAAACAGCGGCAGAAGTCTGGTTAGGTAAGTCTTCAAGTTCTCTACAGAGAATTGTCCCACGAGACAATAGCTTACCTTAGCGGTTCGTGAATTTAATGACAGTAATTCTGAATTAAATCTCAAGGCCGTCCAGACACTCAGAGTGAAAAGAGGGCGATCGATAACTGAGGAGTGCTAAATATAAGAACTAGGGGTGATATCCCTAAACTTGGACAATGGAACGAGAACGTAGATTAAATAAAGAATCCAGTTTGAAATTCCCCGTAGATTACCCAGATCGGTATACATCTGATGAAGGCTGGGGAGCACAATAACCGAAACGATGAGGATAATAGTACACATGTAAATAATCGATAAAAGACATGTCCACATTTTTCTAGGTTGAATGGCAAATCGATTGCTTCAATGTCTATTCCCTTTACTGCCATTTGGTCTTGTGCCCGAAGCAAAATTTAGTGAATTTGATCGTCACAGACTACGCCATAAGAAAAACTCTTATGATAATGACACATACACTGATCAGATTTCTTTCCGGTGTTCTTGATAAAAAGAAATTTTATTTATTTAGAAAAAGAAGACCATGAACAGCAAGTATGATGATATTACTTAAGATGAATGGATTTGGTCAATGTGGTTACCAGGCTTCAAGAAGTTTGTACTTCCTACTTAAATTTGTCCCTATGAAAATAAGAGGGAAGAAGTGAGAAGTGATAAACTGTTTCGAAGAGAGACGGGGAGGGAGGGAGCTGGTGACAAAAAGATATTTTACGTTAAAGAATGAAGCTTTAAACTATCTGATAGTATTGTTATAGTAAAAAGAGAAAATAATATAAAATAGACAATGAAAAGAGGGACGGAAAGAAACAGAGTGGACAGACAAAGAGCAGAGAGACGAAAGTAAAGAGGGACGGAAAGACACAAAAG